GTACCGACTAAATTCTTGCATCTCTATAAATTGTAAAGAATAGTTCTAAACAAAGCAAGGACCTAGTTGATTGTCTAAACTACAGCTATGCTGTTTTTACCCAACTGTGTATGTGAGATTACACAATTTTACAGGAGGAGTGTGTTGTATTTGTCACCTTCGTCCAATGCTTACTCATGCCAATTTCACTCAGTAAAATCTCTCATTAAATCCTGACTGAAGATTTCCAGTGATGGGAGAAATCAGCCCCTCACTTGAGAGCCCATTCCATCTTTGGATAAATCTAACTGGAAAAAAGATCATTTTCTAGCACACCTCTAATTAGTATAAATTAATAGGTTTGTTAAATTAAAGAAGGGATCTCAACCAGGACAATTTGCTCATTTTGCATGAGTGAATGAAGGAATTTAACTTCTGTTGTTAAACTCATGCATTATGTAACATGACAATGGCTAGAGTACCCTTAATTGATCATCTGAGTAAAAGACATAATTGCAATAAAAGAGGGAGGGACTAATTTTCAATAATTTCATATTTTGAAATAAATAATCTTCCTTATCTTGCTGTCTAGTGTCTAACCAAATCATTATCAGCAGTAATTCTACGAGTGACAGGTGTGTCTGAGCAATGTCTCACTGTCTTACTTCTTCCCAAGTAACCTGACCTCTGAAAAAGGTAGATTTCTTCATCTTTAATAAACTCATGAGGAATCATGTGAACACATATCTAAGATGGACAGCTTCAGAAGAAAGAGGCTGAAAGGACACTATACTGGGCATTATAGAAGATCCTTAATGACAATACAATATCATTAATGTGTTATGATACCATGTTACCATCTTCCTTGATAGGGAGGTTGACTGACATATGAGAATTCCAAGCAGGACTTTACAAAGCTTCCCACCTGAATCTTCCTTCTCACCCTTTCTCAAATCTCTCATCCTTGGGAGGACAGACTCTTCCTTTCTTTACTGGCCCAGTTCCCCAAGCCACGATAAGCCCAAGGGAGTGATAACTACTCCTGTGTTCCTTGCCTAGAAGCCACTGGTTGTAGGTGTTGATGAGGTCTACACATGAGGCATTAGGATTGCTCTGAGGACTGAGCTAGTGTCTTTTGGGTTGAAATCATCACAATTCTACCATTTTACACTGCACTTATGGATGAAATTGGTACTTTTGACTCTGAAAATACTGGCTCTGGGGGACTGGAGTTAGCTAATTGGTCTGATAAAAAGAGACACGTGAAATGGCCCTTGATATCATTTGATTGCCTAGAGGGTGTTAGAAATAGCAGTAATTTTGCAGGGTAATATCATGAATATAAAGGAGTATCACAAAGCTACTATTTGAATAAGGGATGGATTTTCTTCCTAAGCTTGAAATCTGTTCTTCCCACCGGAAGGAGGTGGCCTAAACAATCTTGGTATTTTGGGCCTTACTAAGAGTAAAACTCAAGAGTAACCTGAGACCACAACAGAATAATTCTTTTAAAACACTACAAGAAAAACTTACAATGTACTATATGCTGGCTAACTGAACATAATAATAATAAAAAAGTAAAAAAATTATAAAAAATAAGGTTATGAAGAGGATCAGGAAGTGTCTGATCCAGAAAAATAAGAAAGAAGACCTGAGACCATTTGGCTCAGGCTCCAGATTCCTACTTTTCTGCACCTAAATAAGAAACGGAATGGTTCAACAAATTCTGAACATCTAATTCCAGAGTCCAAAATCCTAATCCACTAGAAAATTCATTCATCTGCCTAGCTTTCTTGGCTTTGCCACAAGTCCTCCTTAATGATGTCATTCCACTTGTCATAACTCCAACAAGAGCAGGTGGAAAAACAAGAAAGAGAAATGTCAAAGTTTATGATGCATTTTTCCAGAACTCTTTCAAGCCCCTACTTAACTTGGATTTCTTTATAAAGGCTGGAGGAAACTGAAAGAAATTCTGAATGCAGATAAGAACCACCTGTATTCAGAAAGGATTACCTAAAGGCTCCCTTGTGTGACAAGTCCTTGTTGTCCTTGTTTTTATGTGGCTGCTGACAGCAAGAAGAGTAACGTCAAATGAATGTTTTGAAAGGACTCAGCACAAAACTTGGTTCATTGCAAGTACTGTCTATGACAAGTATTATTATTATTACCTAAAAAGTGGGCAAGAGCTGATGGCTGACTTGGGTGTGAAGAGGAAGCTCACCCTCAGTTTTATTCAGACAGGCCTCTGGCCTGTGAGGTGGCTCTTGTCCAGTTTGCCTGCTCTCTCAAACCATTGGCTCACACAGCTCGTTCCTCGATGACTCACACCACCCAGCCTTCTGTCTGGATACACAGCTCAGCGGCAACTTGAGGGCTCAGCATGTGCAGCCCACGGCCCTAAGACAGAGCTATCTCACGTGTCAGCTTAGTCACTTACTGGGTTTTCACGGGTGCATGGACAGTGAGAGTGATGGGGCTGTCTTTGTTGTATCTGGGTGCTGCCAGGAAATGTGGTAGATTGTGGGTGCATGTACATGTGTGTGTGTGTACATGTGTCTCTGTGTGTACATGTATGCATGTGTACCTGTCTTGCACATGTACATGTGTGCACGTGTATGTGTATATGCATGCACATGGGTGTGCGCACATGTATGCATGTGTACCTGTCTTGCACATGTACATGTGTGCACGTGTATGTGTATATGCATGCACATGGGTGTGCGCACATGTATGCATGTGTACCTGTCTATGCGTGTGCATGTGTACGTGTGTGCGTATGTGTCTGTATACGTGCACATGTGTGCATGCATTGCATGTGTCTGTGCATATGCACGTGTGTGCATGCATGTACACATCTGTGCGTGTGTATACATGTGTACATGTATGTGCATTGCATGGGTGTGTATATGTATGCATGCGTGTCCATGTGTCCATGTCTGTGCATGGGTGTGTGTACATGTCTGCATGCATACATGTTTGTGCATTGCATGGGTATATACATGCATGCATTGCATGTGTCTATGCACGTGCATGCTTCTACATGCATGCATGTATATATGCCTGTGCATGTGCATGGGTGTGTGTGTCCACGTGTGCATGTCTGTGCATGGGTGTGGGTACATGTGTGCACGTGTATGTGTCTGTGCACATATGTCTACATGCATGCACGTGCACATGTTTGTGCACGTGCATGGGTGTGTGTGGGCGGAGTAAACAAAGGATGAGAGAAATTTTCATGGTTTAATTTTGCTTTTTTCTCTGCCTCCAAGGTATCTGCCACATGCATAGCGATATAATCTCTCCAGCACACCCCATCAGCGTCATCCTCAACACAATTCCAAACTATGTGAGAAGTAGACATCCTGAAAACAAGAGATCTTGTAAAGTATGGTAGAATCTGAGTTTTGGAAAAAGAGATTTGAATCCCTGCTCTGCTACCTTCTACATGTTTGAGCCTTGAGAAAGTTACTCCAACTCTCTGAGCCTCCCTCATTTATCAGACAATAAAACTAACACCTACATGAAAGGACTGTTGTAAAAATTAAATGAGGTAACAAATATAAAATGATTACAGTAGGGCCTGATACAGTAGCAAGTGATCAACGAATGTCAGTGTCCTTGCAACACTGCTGCCTCGAGGCACTCCATAGGAGTTATCTGCCTTTCATCTGCACAGCAACCTTGTGGGGATGGGAAGTTCAGTGACTTGCCTAAGATCACAAGCTAGAGTGGAAGCCACATCTCTCTGTCTTCTGACAGCACCTGCCCTGGTCTATGTCCGAAGCAGTCAGTAGGTACCAAATGCTCTGCACTGGGCCTGAGGGACTTCCCAGGGATCACGAGCATGGACAGAAGGACAGTCCTCGCAGGAGCATAAAGAGAGCTATCTGTGAAATCTAAAATCCTTAGCTGGCTTGGTCTCCCAGGAAGAAGGACATGGCCTTTGGGAATGATCAAATACCAAATGCCCTTAGAGAGAGCTGATCTTTCTCATCTTATTTGGAAGATGATGGTGATAACAGAGAATTTGGAACAATAAAATCATTTAGAGAAAAGACAACTGAATGACTCTTACATATTTAAATACATCCCAGGGGGTCAAGATGACCACTGCTTGTGCTCTAATGACCCGAAGGCAGGGCTGGGAAGGCCTCCCACAATGGGCTGTCCGTGTGTACTTGGTTAGTTGGCACCTTTATGTACTTATGTGATTATGTGTATGTGAAGGTTGTGACCCTGGTATATAAGCCACAGGAACACTGTTTCCTCCCACCATTTTTAATGAAGTGGTTTCTTTATAGAAGCTCTACAAGTGTGAGATTTATGTTAAGTGAGGGTTTAGCCTTACCCAGATGTGGATTGACATAGGATCAATCACAAAGAAAGGGAAAAGAATAACTATTGCATTTATTCAAACATCTATTCCATGAGTATGATGTCAACTAAATTTCACAACAACCCAGTGAGGGGCAGGTATTATGATCATCATCCTCTCAGTGAGACCATCTTGTCCTGTGTCACCCAGTCAGTAATTGGTAGGAACTGGATTCAAGCATGTCTATCCAGCAATCAAGTGTATGTCCTTTCTCTGTTGTTTAACAAAGACCAGACACTTGTGAGATAAAGGAGATGTATGAATGTCCACCTGCATGAGGGAAAGCTCTCAATGTGTCAGGATCCACTCACGACCTGTAAATCCATCAACCATTCTTTGCACCCACTTCTGTTTCCAAAGTGGGATTTGAACCAAAGTCTGCTTAACTCTAGAGTCTGAGCTCCTAGGAACACTGTGAGCCTTATGGAGACATTCCCTGAGGCCATATTGGCATCCAGTGTGGATCTAGGACCTTCTGATATGACCTGATTTCTGAGGGTATTTGGCGAGTGACAACCCCAAATCCTAATGTGCAGCCAAAGACAGAGAAGGTTGGCCACCAATGTGGGACAATGGAATCCTGGAATCCTAAATGTGGGTCCCCCTGGAAAATCAGAATCTTGGGGACAGAGTGACGGGTGGGTACCTGTATTTTTAACAAGATCCCCAAATACTCTTTTACTTGGAAAAATATCAGCCTAGGACAAAGAGGCTTTTTATCCTTAAAATTTTCACAATCACATAAGGAGGTCATTTCTCAATGGGAAGGGTTTTGGAATTTAGCAAAAAAGATGCCAGCATTTAAAAAGAAGAAGGAAATCTAATCATCATTGATATGGTTTGACTTTAATACTTAGCCTCCTAAAATGCTCACATCAAAAGCATAAATTCCCATAAACCAATTCTGAAGTATATATTAAACATAGCCTAATCTTTACTCGTGATGAGGAAGTTGACGTGTTCGGAGATGGCGATACCGTTTTCGAAAACTAAGCTTAACAAAGTCCTCCAAGTATGTATTAAGTCCCTCAGCTCGACAGTAATGCAGCCCCTCCAAGTATGTATCCCTGTGTTACTGAGCTCTCTTCAGGCACTACAGATTATGGGCTGGTTTATTTGGCCTGGAAACATCCATAAGTAATTATAATTAATTGCCTTCCCCATCCTAAGCTTCACAAATAATAAAAAAAGAGCCTTGTCCTAGGAGAGAAATGAGGACCAGAGGCTGATCCCCTTCCTGTAAGTGTTGTGGGGTTAAGTCTTCCACTATATATATAAAGAATACTCACAAATCAATAACTCAATGAAAGATGACAATTAAGAGGAATGTGCAAATCACAAAAGGAGAAACAGGAAGACCAAAACATAAAAACATATACAGATAGACTTTCAACCTCAAGAATAATTAAAAAAAAAAAAAAAGTGACAGAGATATGCTGTTTCTTGTCAAAGTGGCAATTTAAAAGCATAGTCACAGTTTTGAGAGCAATTTTGTAATGCACATCAATATTTTTAAATGTACATTTCTCTTGTAGCCATTTTTAGGATCTTCTTCCCAAGGAAAGAATTAAGCATGGGTATATGATTTAACTAAGACAATGGTTACTGCAATGCAGTTTATAATTTATAAGAGTGAAAAACTAAGGAAAAAAAGCCAAAAATGGTTAAAATATGCAATGAAGTAGTATGTAGTTACAATTTTTTTTGTAACTGCGTATTTAATAATATGGGAAAAGGGTCAAGCAAAGAGTGCTTAACACTGTATCACAAATCATTATGTATAAAATGGTCCCATTTTAATAAAAAAATCGTGTAAATAAGCATACAGAATTGCAATCATGAAGGCGTAGCGAGACAGATGCCAAAATATTTGCAGTGGTTATCCTGGGTTGTAAGGTCACAGGAGATATTATTTTCTTCTTTTTGTCTTATATCCTTGGCATAAACTTTTGTTAGTGAAAATGCATTCATTTTTTTTTATAAGAAAAAAGTCATATGTAAGGAAAGAAAAAAAGTCATATGTAAGGAAAGAAAAAAATCCAATATGATCAACAGTGTTTGACAAACATGCCATGTTTCTACATCCCTTTCCCCTAATTCTGATTTTTGTTTGCCCCTGAGATCTGTAAGCTGTCTCAGGAAGTATTTAGCTCGAGGCTAAAGAAGGGCAGAGGATTTTTCTGTGAAATTTGGGAGGACGGGAGGGGACTTTTGCTGCCTGGATTATGCCCCCCAACCCACCCAGAGGTCTGCTCAGAAGGTCCTCATGGGGATGCTGGGAACTAGAGATGCTAAGAACCATGGATTCTAACCTGGCTGAGGTCCAAGCCCTGGCTCATGTTTCTTGTTATCCACACTGGTGAGTTTTGAAAATGAAGGGAGGTGCTACTAATAATCACATTGAGAGAATCAGTCAGTTAAGCGTCTGCCTTCAGCTCAGGTCATGATCCCAGGGTCCTGGGATGGAGCCCCATGTCTGCCTCCCTGCTCAGCAGGGAGTCTGCTTCTCCCTCTGCCTCTGCTCCTCCTCCCCTGCTTGGGCTCTCTCTCTCAAATAAATAAATAAAATCTTAAAAAAAAAAAAGAAAATAAACATCTTGGGCAAACCAGGACATATGGTCACCATGGTCATAGGGAATTCTGGGGCTCATGGCATCGACTGCTGAAAGATGCCAGGGGCTGTCCGACTCTCTTCACAGATGAGGAAACAGAGGACCACAGAGAGAAGCAAACACATGCTGCCCAACCTTGGTGATGACGAGTCATGAGCATGCTGCTCTGAAGCTTAACTCAAAAGATTCCTCTGTGTGGGTATGTGTGTGAGAAAGTGTAAATGTATAAGTGTACAAGAGTGTGAGTGTATGTGTGAGTGTGTAAGTGTGTGAGTGTGTGTGTACCACCATGAAATGACATGGTAGGACATGAGCAGAACTTCACAGTCTTCTCTCCTGAAGCTCCACTGCTGAGAGATCAACACTGACTCATGTCTTTTGGCTCTTAGAGTTCTAAAAAATATCCCAAGACCAGCTTACAGGAGTCAAGACAGTCTCCTCTAAACTGCTCCTTAACCCAAGTCTTCATTCATTCAACAGGTATTTTTGTGCAACACCACGAGGTATATAAAGGTCCTATTTCACAGAACACTCTTGGTAGAGGTGCCCATTTTTATAAGCGAATGTGATCAGGAAATGTCTGAATGACATTTCGAAGGAGCTTTTATGTTCTCTAACTCACTATATGGGTGGAGAGGGGAAGGCGTTCCCTTGTTCACACATCTTATTGTTCAAACAGAATGAAGCCTTTCCTTCCCCACAAAAGTTCCAACGGTAAAAATCAGTGTTTCCATTTCCTGTTTTCCTTTTGGAAAACATGCTTTTAGGGGTGCAAACTTGCTCCTAAGAAACAGGGTAGGGCAGTGGGGAGAAAGAGGTCTTTGGAGTCACAAATGCTATATATATTACAATAATCCTAAGATGCACAATTGTCCCCCCACTTTTAAACCTCTCTGAAACCAGGATGCATTTTACTCTCCATGGAGTGGTAAAGCCTTGAGTTCTTTCAGAGAGGTTTGTGATTGCTTCTGCTGGTCAGCAGGGGGCGATATCAACCCGGGACCACTTCACATCCAATTCCCTGACTGAGGTTTTTTTTTTTTTTTAAAGATTTTTATTTTATTTATTTGACAGAGAGAGAGACAGACAGCTAGAGAGGGACCACAAGCAGGGGGAGTGGGAGAGGGAGAAGCAGGCTCCCGGCCGAGCAGAGAGCCCGATGCGGGGCTTGATCCCAGGATACTGGGATCATGACCTGAGCCGAAGGCAGACGCTTAACAACTGAGCCACCCAGGCGCCCCCCTGACTGAGGTTTTTTTTAAAGACCACATTCAGTGTGTGAAATCAGGCGGCAAGGCTATATGGATTCCATTTTGGAGTTTAACCTCTTGGAGAGCTCCTTTTTTTCCAGACCAGTCCCAGGGAATGGGCATGTGGGTGGGATTATCTGCTGGGTGGGATTTTTTTCTGTCCATCCTTACCTTGAGGGGTAAGCCCAGTTTATGGGGAGGAGTTCCTTCCAGACTCCCCATACTGGGTTTTTCTTACTTAGTGCTGCATAGAAAATGGGGCATCTCACGGATGATGGTACCTTAGAGTCAACAGAATATGGCAGCCAGATTTTGAGATCTATGGCCTCTACTTAACCTCTAGACGGCTCAGTTTTCTTTTTTGTAAGCAGGATAGTAATGTTTCTCTGAGGATGCAATAAACTGATATACATAAACACCAGGCACACAGTAGATGCACATTGATACTATTCTCCAGTTCTGGAATCTTATGGACTTGAAGGTGCTATGTTAAATCAGCTAAGGCTCCAGGACTCTTTCCTACTTATTCTCTCTCCAGAACCTCCTGCCTCCTGCCTCCCACCCCATCCAAAGTTCAAAGAGGAGAGAATGCAGATAGCACAGGACTGTTGTCTTTATATGAGGGCCTGGGAGAGAACAAGCTCCGGGACTCTTGGGAGAGGCAGTGTGGTGAACAGACCAGGCAGCGGCTGGGGGCTCACAGAGGGCTCAGATTGAAGCCCCTCTACTGACAGGTGGAGTTTGGGGTGGGCCACCTAATCATTTCTCTGTGTCTCCATTTCATCAAGTATAAGATGAGGCTCATAAGAGCACTTACTTCACACTGTCATTGTTAGTGAATTTGTGCTAACAGCTTAGAATAGTGCCTGGTATTTGGTAAATACCCAATGGCTATTACTTATGATACATCCTCAGCTCGACAGTAATGCAGCCCCTAGAGAGAGTCTCAGAGCAAAAGTCAATGCGAGGGTCTCTGTGACAGGAAGGGGGGGAGTGAACAAACGTTCTGATGTGACCCACTGTCCTCACCACGGGGCACCCATGCAAGGCAGAGCCCACGCTGGATAGTGCAATGCTACCCTTTGCTTCTCCTAGAAGAACCTTTCCTGGATGCAGAAATCAACCTCAGACACACTCTAACCCCTCCCCGCCCCCC